AACCAAGTGGCCCTTTTCAAGAAAGGACACAGGCTCGAGATCGGACACCATTTCGGGACTCAGTTGTGAGTTCAAGACCAGGAATGACGTCAATATTCGGAGTCGATTCTAAGTCCTTTTGCAATTTCAACTTTGGCCTACTGCTAAGGTTGTAGCCCCTGGCACGGGTTTTTCTGGTCAGTAATTGAAAAAAAACAAAATTTGAGGCAGACCAAATATAACCAGCTTGGTTATGGTGTTACTCCAGCCATGGAAGTAGAGGGGAAATGGAAAACAGCACAATCATTACGCGTAACAAGTGCAGCGCTGTTAATCCCCGTGATAGCTAGAATATCCATCTCCCTTCTAACGGGGGGGCTAGGCCATTTGATTTCCACCCCTTTTGGTGGTGAAAAAAAACAACAACAAACAAACAAACAACCCAACAAACAAACAAACAAACAAACAAACAAAGAAAAAGAATGCTGAAACACTTTGGGAACTTCTCAAGAAGCAGAACCCAGAAACACTAGAAAACAGAGAACAAATCGCGCAACTATGTTTTAAACGCCGGGGTGTTATTGTAAGGAAAAGACACGCCGGTTCCAATTACAAAATAAGATGTACAGCAGCATTATGAACAGCGCCCTCACGTAATGCTGTACCTCCTCTCGGCAAGAGTATTTGCGGTTAAGTGCGCTCATTCCTCGACTCATCAGCCGTCGTATCTGGACGGAAGCTGGTACAGGTTGGATGGCCGGAGACTGTTTGCCCTGCAGCCCACGAAGGCGATCGATTCACGGCGCTGACTGAGCGCGTCAGTCCCACTTTGCTTTAGGGGCGCGGTATACTTGCGCCCTTCGCCAGTACAGCCTGTCTGGGTCGGGCGTTGCAACGGGGGACACGGTCTCTCGACCAGAACTACCACGCAAATGAGACTTGACTTTGTCATCGATTCAATGTAATGTAGTGTTTTCATCAAGAACAAAAAGAAAAAAGAAAAGAAAGCAGCATCTCAGAATATAAAACAGGGAGGTACGATAGTAAAAGTAGAAATCACTACGTAATCATATTTTAAAACTTGAGCCTGAAATGCCAGCCTTTTAGTGCTCGATTTGACGACTTTACAATTCTTAAGTTTTAGATATTGAAAATCATTTCTTATTGAATGTAGGCCTAAGTCCCATCTTTTTATCTGGTGTTACTGTTTCCAGAAGCCCGGAGCTGCACGCACGGTAGTTTTGTTTTTTGTTTTAAATTAATAAGTTTAATGGTGTACATTAAGACAAACTTTTTTTAACAAAAAACTATCTTTACTGCAAAAAGTGGAGTTTAGAAGAAAAGTATAGTGAAAGCCAAGCTACTCCCAATACGTCAGCCATCAAAACAAACCGTTTGAAATGAATGGAAAGTGCTAACTAGATTTAATTGTTGTAACGGTGTGTTTAACTATTGTGTCGGTGATTGGTTATCTTAACCTCCATGATTATTAAAGGGTTGGGTGTTTATTTAAATTACTCCCTGGACATCAGACATCACTGTTTGATGAGGTCTTGGTATGGCGTTGACAAATAAAATGAAAATATTGTTTTGTTGTCGAGAAATGTAAATTGTCCCCTAGCCTTTCTCCGCAGCTACGTCAATGGTTTCCTTGTACATTGAATATTATCTTCTTCTTAGAAAAAAAAAATCGCCCTTGGGATTTTATCGAGATTTCCTCTCCACATGGCTTGCAGTTGATAAATCAGCGTATTTATGATGTGCACCGAGAGGCCTGGTCGATAGCCCTGATGCGGTGCTGGCGCTCAGCCCAAGACAGATACCTCGCTTCGCCGAGGTTGAAAAAAAATAGTATCGCGGTCGATGGGATTTGAGCCTCAGTAACTGAAGGCGCGGAAGTTGTTAACAACAATTGGGGAGTTAGAAACGGAAGTAGGGATCGAGGAGCCCCAGCTTTTTATCTCTTCAACTTTTATCGGCGAGCAATGTTGAATTATGAAATAGATACACGTTAGGTGTAACGTCTGGGCCAGCATATTGGTTGATGATTGGAAAGAGATGTTTTACCAATGATATTTGATAAATTAATTCACTGCAGGCGTTGTGTAACTGTATCAAATTCATTTCCTTTCGACTGTGAGTCGTTAGAGAATCGGGCTTCTGAATCCAGGTTAATTAAAGTTAATAAGCACGCTAAATGGGAAGAGAGAATAGTTCATACTCTTCGAGACTGTAACGCCTTTGAAAGTAACATGTGTTAGCATTATCGAAACAAGCTTGCTCGATATTGTAATTAGTTGGACAGGTACAGGTCACCATAACAGGTACCATGAACTGTCAACCAGTGTTGTAGTCGACACCATCCCAAGACTAGACACAAGACCATGTGAACGACCAGTCACTAGTGTATACCCAGCAAGAAATGAGACTGAGGGGTACCCCCCAACATGTCCAATCCCTGTACACATTCCAGACTATCGTTACTTAACACACCCCCCCCCAAGTTGTCTGAAAGGAATTCCCGAGATTCCTGCGAGACAATGACCAACACAAAGCAGGGGGGTTCTCTCCTTCTCATAACTTGCTGCATAGGCCCTATGCACTAGTAACATGAACAATGACAAAAGGATGCTTTTGTTGCAGGTCATTTGAATAACTTGTAACTGGAATTCAGACTAGAGAGCTTGTGTTGGTCTTGTGCTTGTCTTGTGTAGTCTTAAGTGGTCTCGACTACAATGGTGATGTCACCTCATGTTTCTCTAACACGTAGGAATTCCGTACATTACACTGTGGCATGAAATAGGCCCAGATTCTGGCGTGAGCAAAATGTGTCAGTCCTTATTCCATTATTAGACTTATGTAAGCAATGTTTGAACGGGTATGGGCCTTGAGCTGGACCGAATAAAGGCGCAATTTCGTTAGTAACAGAGGCTTCCTTGGTACTTTCAACTAATGCGGCATTTCTCAACCTATTAGGGGGTGCTTGTGATCGAGGCAAATACCCTACCTCCCCCCAAACTCTCAACAGAATGCTTGCTAAGGTCTCGATGTGGCATGGTAGAAAAGGCGATACTGCGTTTTCGAATTCTGATAGAAACGCAAGAGCTCTCGGTTCAGAATCCATGGACCGGCGAAGGCTTAGCGGCAGTTGCGGAGTTGCGAGATTAGTTCACCAAGGCCGGAGATGGTCATCGCAAAGTGGCACTTCACATTGCGGTACGACAGGCTCGTCCCGACAAGAAGAACAAAAAGAAGAGAGAAAAAACCAGAGGTCTGGTTTCTCAGGCGATTCTCGTTCGCTCTTGACAAAACACAGGAATTTTCGCCCGAGATACGTTCCAGTGGCGTTGGATTTCATCCTGGTCTCATGAAATGCGGGAAATACAAACCTTTTGGAAATTTTGACCGCCTCTTTCCCATTTTTTTTGAACAAAAGTGGCTCTTTGATTACTACTTCTACAGTGCGCCATGCGTTGTGCAATAGTCACTGTTTCGTTATTTGCAGTGAAGGTGCATTTACTACCACACCTGTGCAATGCTATACACAAATCGATTGAAGAATAATGAAGAATGTATTGGTCAGGCATTGTGGCCCCTCCCACCCCCAAAAGAAAATAGCTGAACACATTCTGTAGTAAACAACAACCCACTCCCTAAAATAATCAGAGGGGTACCCGTAAGTCATTATAGACTGCGATATTCAGTTATGTGTGTTATCTTTCATAATGCTCGCTGCGTCGTAAATAAAATTGAATAAATATCTATAACAAGCAAAACAAAGGTCATCTCTGATTATTCAGGAATCATTCAGGAATATTATTCAGTGTAACAGCTTGAAAGGCCTTTTCCTTTTTTATTCCACTTGTCTGTCATGTCGATGAGTGCAACGTTTTAATAACCAAGACTTGCCCACGGAAAGTCCAGTTGAAATTGCCAGTGTGTCTTTCTGCCAGAACGCCCCACATTTTCTGTCAGTAAAATTTCGTTAACGGGTAAAGAAGACAATAAAGAAATGTTCAATTTTAGAGGTGGGGGGAAAAACCCTCATAAATATTCCAGGGAAAACCCACAGAATCAGGCAGGGACGGAAAACCCAATCCACATGCTGACCCAGGTGGGATTCGAACCCGGGTCGCAGAGGCGAGGAAAGATCATTTAAAGAGCGCAAAACTGAAAGAGTTGCATATCCGTCACAAAAGAGGGGAGAGCACATCTTGGTTCCTCGCCTTCTGGGAGTCGGCCATTTGCATTGAAAGCGAGGCAAACCGTGTCTTTCTTCCTATTTCCTGCATTACATATAAATTCAGTGGGAATAAAAAGAAAAGATGGCGTGGACACTTCAAATAGATTGAGCTCTGATCACAATATACTGCTTGATTTATTTATATAAAGTCATTGCATATGGGGAATTTTGCCGCGTATACAAGGAAGCACTAGCGGTAAATGACGGCCATGGTCATGGCCGCTTGATTATTTTGCTCTCGGTAAAACACACAAACTTTGCAGTATGGATTCCAACTTGATTTAGGACGCCTTGGCGCTTGCAATCTCCGACTGAGAATACCATAAAGCAGTGTATAGAGGGCAGATGGCCGCCCCACTTTAAATTTGCCCGTAAATGTGACTCAATCTATATCTTCGTGAATAATATATTTATTTTGTTAGTGTCTTTCACTCTGCATTTTTCGAGTGTCACCGATTCAGTAAACTTGAAGATTTCCCCTTTAAATGACATGTGACCCAAACGCAGGCAAATCAGTCACAATTGAACCCTTTCACCAATCTTCCAACATACAGCCATCAACAGAAACATTAAATGCTTTCCCCTCGTGAACCCCTTATATTTTGTGATGGGAAATTGTTTATGCTAACGTAACCCCCCCCCCCATAAAAATAAAAAGAACAAATAAAAAACGAGCTCATGAATAAATACGGAAGAGAGAATGTAGCCCTTTTCTCATCACGTACGGCACCTTATTAACTCGTATTTGATCAAATGTTCTGAAATCTTTTATTTGTAGACAGAAGCTGGAGAGCAATAAATCACCTTCGGCCACGCAGTTGCCATGCTATGGACACAAATAAACATCACTTTAAGACAGCCTTTCGGTTCCAGTCCAGGAATTCAGTACGCCGACACCTCCCGTTGGGCTCAAGAAGAACGGACTCGCAAACTGACATCCAGCTCGAAAAGGCAGATCCCTCTTGGCGGAGTTTAGCGTCTGCGACATTGTCGTCGACGCTGCCGAAAGGTAAGCGATGAGGAAAAAAGTGAAACAAGTGTACGGGAAACTTTTGACAGACGCGAATCAATCTAAGCCACCCCCAAGAGGGAAAATAATATCTCCGGGGACCTTATTGACTGGACGGGGGGCCCTGGCCGGATCGAGCCCGGTAACTTCCCGGGGAACCGGGCAGCTGAGTTTATCACCCGCTACCCTTTGATGTTGAGGCACTACACGCTGGCGAAATCGATCAATAACTCAGAAACTTAGAGTTATTTTCCAGCACGTAGGAAGTTCCCGTATCGCCCACGCCAATTAAAATGGAAGGGTGCGTTATTGACCTCGATAAGCTGCTCCGATCAGGCCAAAGTTTGCCAGCATGTGTATATTGAAGTCTTTCTCGTCGCTCCTCTAGCCAAGTATATGAACTGGTCTTAAGTCTTCATTGGTAGACGTTTTACAGTGCCCATTTTCCCCGTGAAGGGTTTCGATCATTCGATCGTACTTACCGGCTTTTAATGTATCTTTCTGATCGCACGTACAATAAACGCGTGTGAGCAAGATCGTAACTCTCGATCAAACAAGTATGATCTTAAATCAGGGGATACATTTACTCCAAGAATGGTTGCAGGTCGTCTTTCTTCTAATCTTTGTGAGTATCGATGTTCTCATTCTATTAGTTGATTCTGAGGAGATCTTCGGGCTAAAATTTACCACAATTTGAGAGACTTTGAGAAATGTCTTAACCATCCTGCGTGAAACGAACTTAAAGATGTTGCAGTATTGCCCACTTTCTCCTCGACAACGTCCGCAGAACTAATCGAAAAGCAGGAAAGCATTCAGTCACGAGCAGAACACTATTTATTTAAAGGATAGCTAGAAACGGTTGCACACTGATAAACGTCGAACAGCCGTTTTACATATTGCACATGCAAACGTTGACTGTTCGTGCGCTCTGATCGTTATTCACTGACTTGATGGCGCGTTGAAATTCAGGGCTGGAAGTCAATGGCCGACTGCACGAGTAGGATAAAAGATTCATGACGTGAATGTTGATTTCGAACATTTTTCGTGGAAAATATTTTCCTCATAGAAATTATAAAAAAAACCTACCTGACCGTTTTGTTTGGTTACATCAACGCATTATCAACAAAATCGACGCTTAGCGTTTAATAACGTTTGTTTAGCGTAAGTGTGCGTTGCCTCATTTTCAAGTTAAGCTAAACCTGGACAGGAATTCTTACCCGTAATGAGCAAACGTAGCCCGTCAAGGCGTCTGTAGCTTAATTGTTTGCTTAACAGCGAGCCTGATTTATAACAATAGAAAATCTTGCACATGACAAAAATAGTCTCGCCACTGAGGACTCTTGTTAGCGTGATTCCTACAGCTTTTGGAAAAGACAAAAAAGTGTAGGGATTGTTGTATACTGTCCAAGAATACACTCTTGTAATGAGAAGAATTTGGACTTGAAATCCGACCACCCACCGCTACTTATAGGTGAGGCCTGTGCAACAAAATAGCAACGCTCCAACTGTGATGCTAATATATTATCGTATGATGCTTTACAGTAGGCCAACTTTGAAGCTTGTTCGAGCCTTCTGCATGCAAACTTTCGTGACGTTGACTAGCCTCACTTATAAGTTTGCCGACTGCATCAGACGATAATATATTAGCATCAAAGTTATAGCATGGCTATTTTGCTGCACAGGCCGCGCTTAAAAGTAGCGGTGGGTAGTCGGATCGGGTGCAATTATCTTATCTTGCTATAATGTAGTCCCCCAAACCCACCTGCACACAATGGTCCTTACCAGTATCTAAGTTGTGATCGGTGCATGAAGAAAAAGCGCAATATCAAAGTTGTGACAAACAAACGCGTCACAATTCGGAATTTGAGCCGCTTTTGCTTTGTGCGAAAGCTTCGTGAAAATCTTGACGAACTGACATGCAATGATTTCGCGAAAATAACACTACAAGACGAACGCTTTGAATGATTTAAGATTGAGGTAAGTGTCAGTTCGTGAATTATAATTGAAAAAAAAAAGTTCCGAGTGCTCGCACGCCGTGGTACTTGGTATCTTTTGTATATGCACATTGTGCGTTGATGCATGCGGAGTAGACTCAAGCAGCAGTGAGAGTCAGTTCGAGGCGTGGAGCACCAAACAAAATACAAGTAGGTCTGAGCCCCCCCTGTGGCTTCGTCCGAAATCGGAGCTGTGGCTAGCAGTAACACATGCCTATTGTGGCCGCTAAACTTGGTTATCGCGGACGTGGTAGTGTATTAAAAGTTCGGCGTAACTGGGAATTTTGGGCACAGCGTCTGTTTTTTACCTTTAAGCATGTCACAAGGTAGAAAAAGACTGGTGCCGTAATGATTCGGGACGGTTTCCTCATCCATATTGAAGCCCGGGACTGGGACACCAAAAAGAATATCAGCCCCGAAGGGGGGAAGGCTCTACTTTCCTAGAATAATGCCCAGTTGTCAGCCCAGATGACATGCAGATGTATGGAATCGATTCTGGCTTCCCCACGGCCAGCGTGAAATCTGCAATGCTAAGGCGGGCCATGCGGGGCAGCCGGGCACCATACGATATACAGCAACACCGACGGGGGGGGGGCTTCTCCAAGGGACTGCCACATCTTGGCAAAAGAACCCCGATATACATTACATTAAACTCTAGTGCTGCAAATTTGCTGCGTTGGGCTTTAATACGCAGGGTGCAGTCTTGAGTCAAAAACTAAAAACATGAAAATAGAGACATCTAGTCTGTGGTGAAATGTTCTTCACCATCTTCACTCTTTGTTTTCCCGAAGTGCGTAATTCCTTCAATAAATTTAAAGTAGCAAGTTTTTTTCATTGATTACTGACTACAAGCCAGAGTTCGTAAACTACTGATTGCTAATAACTAGAAATGAAATGGACAGTTGTGGTAAAAATAACTCACATACACCTGGACTGAAAATAATTTATTACAACTGGTATCAACCCACACGTTTCTTGCTACCAATCTCCTCCTGTAGCTAAGCAACCAAAGCATGTACTTTATTTACATGGGAGCGCAAGCGAAGTTCATTTTACCTATTCATCGGCTGTACAGAAACAGATGCCCAGAAGGGGATAGGTGAAGTCTTAACTAACAATTGTACTCAATTACTTTCAGTGCAAGTGTGTGTAAACTTTCGACCACAACAGACTGTAACAAGTGTGAGATCTATGTATATGTATAGGCCAACTCAAGAGTGTATAGTTTTCTTTTACCAGCAAAAGGCATTTTAAATTATGCACTTCTTTCTTTTTATAAGCATTTTCAGAATTGACTGGCTGCGTCCTTAGAGTAGCGCGCACGTCTATGGAAACTGGCTGCAGTCGCAAGCCAGTGGCTTTTGTCAGCGGAAACGCTATCACCAGCCGTAGCCGTGCCTTTTTACACTCAGCTTCATTGGAAATACTCGGGGTCGTCCCTCCATTGTCACAGTAAATTATTTAACCAGAGGGTTCACAAAACAAGTGCACCAAATCAATTTTTAAACTTGTTTGCTTGGGTCCGCCTCTGGCAGAAGCACACTCTCATCGGTTGAAAGGAGCTGTGTCGCTCAGGAGTGTTCAATATGTTGGTAGAGATGCGACCATGGCGCGTGCATTCCCTGGTCGTTCGTACACCAGCGAAGCTCAGTCCCGACCAAAGAAGCCTCTGTTGCTAAGAAAATAGCGCCCTCTCTCAGTCCAGCTCGAGGCCCATAGGGCTTAAAAGATAGCACAAAAGTCAGCTCTTTATTAAGCGTCACAAAATATAAATTCTTTGATAGAAATGAAGTTATTCTGGCTCGAAGTGTCGTGTCGCATGAAGCATTTCGTTTTAAGTTGGCAATTTTAGTAGACATTGTTTATTTCTTCGTATTTTTAATTCTGGCTGTTATTTGTTTAACAAAGGCTCACTCGTGTTTTGGCGAGTTATTTCTTTTTTGAGGGGGTTGGGGGTTGGGGGATTGGATTCAGCTCAGAGTGACCCCCTTGTTACTCCGAACGCAGTGTCCAGGTCCGCGAGACGAAAACGGCGAAGGTGCCACTCGGTCCGTCCACTGAACCGCTCGCGGGCCACCCTGGCGTTTAGACCCCCCTTTCAGAAGTCGCTACGCGCCGTATTAAAGTCCGGTCACGTTTGAGGCTGTTTGAGCGCGGTTTGTTGTGAGCGCCACCGGTGATGCCAAAGAAGGAGAATTATCGGGCAGCCGTTTATGATAGTTGGATTAACACTTTTATGGTGGTGATCAAGGCTGTTGTCTCCGGGGCTTATTGGTCGTCTTGTCAAACTTGAATGGCGAGAACATTCAAACACAAGAAAGCAGACGCAGAAGGGTGACGGTGTCAGGTGGAAACTTTTTTTCATCCGCTTTTTACTTCTTCCACAAACTTCTGCACAAGGAGCAGCCCCAAAGCGGCCACGTAACGTCAACAGGAGTGATTCGAAATACAGTGCGCCACCAAGAAGTTACTGCATACGGCGTGTTCTTCGCAGTGCATTATAAGAACTTTGTCGACATTTGCGACGTGAAACCTATTTCATTAAAATAATAATAATAATAAGTTTCACATTTTTGCAAATATTTGCGTGTGAACAGTAATGGATTTGCGGGGCTGCCGGCCATACCAAATTTGTGCTTGTAGGCCTACGATGCAACAGGTAGTAACCGATGAAGGACGTTTGTCGGACGCTATAGACCTTTCTTCAGTTTATGACCTTACCATTTTCTGGCCAGCAAAATCTCTCAAAAGATCCGTTTAAGATTAGTATTCAGCTTTTGCCTCGAAGCTTCTATCACCGACCCTCGTGTCTAAGAGAGTGTTGTTTGATAGTTTGTGCACTGGGCGCATCACTCCAACCGGCTGCACGACAACCGATTTTGAATTGGCTCCCTTAGGCCGAGTTCAGGCCGCTTGTTCCCGTATGTTCACGAACAGCTCAATTTGTTGTTCGTGGGTCGGCCGCTCGAACGCCGGGAACAAACAACCAGTTATTGCTTGTAGTTA